CTTCACCTTGGATAAAGCTTTCGGTTTTCCAAAATTATCTCATTTTTACACTAATTTAACTTTAAATGGCCAATATTAACTGCTATTCTTCCAAATGCCTTCAAGCCAAGCTATCTACTACACAAAATCCTCAAATCTGTTTACTTGCCCCCAAAAGGACGATCTTCCACTAAGAGACCATCTTTCGTTAGCACCTTGCCTAGCAATCAAGTAACTGGTTTTCCCCAGTTTGATGAAGCAGAAACATAAATCAATTTTTATAGCCAAAAGCTTTTTACAAGTAGTTTTAAGATGTAATGTTTAAGTTAATAATACAATGTGGTAAAGTAGCATAAACTATTAGTTAAATCAGGGGTCTGAGCCACTGTCACTAGGCCTGGCTAAACTTGTTTGGCTGTATAATGCTAAATATCTGAGGTGACAGTTCTTCCCAATGCATGTTCCACATTAAGATTCCACAGTAAGACCACTAGCTGCTTCACCCACCATCCATACTCTCCCTCTTCCTTAGCAGGGACACTGATTATTAGCTGAGCTCAGTGCCACCCAGAATAAAAGACTCCATTTCCCAGACTCCCCTGCAGCTAGCTGTGGCTGTGTGGCTGCATGCTGGCCGATGACTGCAAGAAGATGTGTTGTATTGGACTTTAGAGAAGTTAATGGGAGTCCACTCAGCCAGAAGGTACACCCTTTTCTGCCCTTCTATTTTTCTTCCTTCTTTGGGCCTGTGACTTGGACCAAATGACTGGCACTTCAGCAGCAGTCTTGGACCATGAGGCAACCCTGAGGATGTAAGCCATGTACTAGGATGATGGAGTAAAAAATGGGAGGTGGGTTCCTGATGATACAGTGGAGCTGCCTAAAATGCTCCAGACTACTTTTTTATTTATTTTATTATGGTGAAATATATTTAACAGAAAATTTGCCGTTTTAGCCATTTTTAAGTGTACAATTTAATGACATTAATTACAGTCACCATGCTATGCAACTATTACCACTGTTTATTTCCAGAAGTTTTTCATCACCCTAAATGGAAAAATCAGTACCTCTCAGGCAATAACTCCCCATTCCCACCCTGCCTGCCCTGGTAACCACTAATAAACTTTTGTCTCTATATAATTGGCTGTTCTAAATATTTCATGTAAGTGGGATCATACATATTTGTCCTTTTGTGTCTGACTTATTTCACTCAGCATAATGTTTCAAGCTTCTTCCATGTCATAGCATGTCAAAACTTAATTTCTCTTTATAGCTGAATAATAGTACACTGTATGGATATACCACATTTTATTTATCCATTCCTCCGCTAAGGGACACGTGGATTGTTTCTACCTTTTGGCTATCACAAACAATGCTGCAATAAACCTCGGCATACAAGTATCTGTTTGAGTCTCTGCTTTCAAGGCTTTGGGGTATATACCGGAATTGCTGGGCCATATGGTAATTCTGTAACTGTTTGAGGAACCGCCAAACTGTTTTCCACAGCAACTGTACCATTTTACATTCCCACCAGCAATGCAGGAGGGTTCCAATTTCTCCACATCCTTGTCAACACTTGTTATTTCCCATTTTTCTGATAATAGCCATCCAAGTGGGTGTGAAGTGGTATCTCATTGAGGTTTTGATGTGCATTTCCCTGATGACTAGTGACTTTGAGCATCTTTTCAAGTGCTTATTGGCCATTTGTATATCTTCTTTGAAGAAATATCTATCCAACTTCTTTCCTCATTTTTTAATTGGGTTGTTTGACTTTCAGGTATATGGTTACCAAATATTTTCTCCCACTCTGTAAGTTGTCTCTTTATTGATAAAGTCCTTTGATAAACAAAAGTTTTTAATTTTTATGAAGTCCAATTTATTTATTTTTTATGTTGCTTGTTACTTTTGGTATCATATCAAAGAATACATTGCCAAAAGCAAGATTCCAGACTTCTTTTTGAAGACAAATAAATACATACCTTGTTTTAGCCATTGCAATTTTGTTTTTTAGGTTATGTGCATTCAAACCTAAACATAATTAATACAGATTATATATCAACATACGATACCATACACTATACATGTCTCACTGCCAGTAAACAGCAAGTGATTTTTTTAAGTAGGTGGCCAAAATAAGTCTTTTAATAAAACACCTTTTACTAAATCTTTTTAACAGCTTGATGTGTATCACCATCTTTCTCTTTTCCACAAAAACAGCTTCCATATATACACACTTTTCTATATTAGTTCAAAGTCAACTTACACATACAATTGCTAGTATTATGCTCTCACATGCAAGTAACAAAAACCCAACTCTCTTAAGCCCCTAAAAAAGACAAAAGGAAACAGGCCAGAGTCCCAGGTCTATAAAGCACAAAGCAGTTATGACTCCCAAACTGGAGGCAATGCACAAAGAAGTGGCAAACATTCTAAAGTGATTTTCAACGCACACACACACACTGCAATGGAGTAAGAGTAATGGTGTCGTCAAGGCACATACCGGATATATACAATTCTGGTCAAACACCTACCCATGAGTCATAATGGATACATACAATCCTGGTCAAACAACCACCCACAGACAAATGTCAGGGAGCTACGCCAACTCATACATGACATTTACATCAGGTATCAACATTAGCACCAACCATACAGTCTAATGGACCATGTACATTTCTGGGCATCAATCATCTTGACAGACACATTTAAAATATGGCCCTATCTATAAGTCCAATACCTGCTACAACATATTGCACTCATAGCTACCCCCTCAGCAATCCTAAAACTCATGAGGCATTAGTTGTTGTTGGGTGCCATGAGCTGACTCCAATTCATAGCAAACCTATGTCACAGAGTAGAACTATCCCATAGGGTTTTCCTGGCTGTAATCTTTATGGGAGCAAATTGCCAGGTATTTCTCCTGCAGAGCTGCTGGGTGGATTTGAACAGCCAACCTTTTGGTTAGCAGCTGAACGCTTAACCATTGCACCAGCAAGGCTCTTTATAAAGCACTTAGGGACAACGAAAGGACCAGCGCTCTGTTGCCTAGATGAGAGAATGACGTCAGGTCTCCTGCCATCTCCTGCCAACAGCAGAGCCTTGGTAGATAGTTTTTCTTTCACAAGAGCCTAGGCTCCCAAGTACAAATCTTATAAAAAGTAAAACATCATATATATAGCTTTAAATTATACCCAAATTTAAAACGTCTTAAGAGGATATTATTAACTTTTACAATTCCATCATCCTAGCCCAACTTTCCAAATGGGCCCCATTATGTAAGTTGTAAGATTAGGCATGTTACCTAGTTCTCCCAGAATGAGAAGGATATAAGAAAAAATAAACTAAAGAAAATTCAGCATCTATATCACATTTTATTCTGATACCACAGCTTCTTCTTACCCTGTTATCCAAAGCAATCTCTAGGTAGCAATTTATTTAAGAAGAGGTCATCAAAACTTTTAATTTATTTAATACATTTTAAAAATTTTGGAGGAGATATGGTAAACAAATAGGATCATAGGAAAAGGAAAAGAGAAACCAAGTTTTATTTTATGTAACCTGAATCTTTCAAATATATCGAAATACATATTTAATGTTCCATACACTTGCAAAGATAAATATTTCTATTATTAAGGGGGAAGAGGGTGCAGGTAAAAGGGTAATAAGAACTAATTAAAAATAAATTGGTTGATGAAAAAGTTTTGGAAATAGATGGTTGCAAAACATTGTGAATGTAATTAATGTCACTAAACTGTACACTAAATGATTAACATAGCAAATTGTATGTTATTTATATTTTACCACAATATAAATTTTTTAAGTAAATTGGAAAGTATATTTGTGTGTGTGTGTGTGTGTGTGTGTGTGTGTGTGTGTACACCATACAGACTTTAAAAATGTCTGGAAGTTGATACCAAATAGTTGTTCTCTCTGAAGGAAAACATTATGGATTATCTTTCTCCTCTTCTGGTTTATCTATACTTTTTAATTTTTCTACAATGAACACTTACTGCTTATGTAATTTAAAAATGTGTTTTTTAAAAGTAAGTAGATTCATCATCACATCAACAGAAAAGGAAGCCACATCTGGAATAGCTCAAAATAAAACAAAGTCTGAAGGATGTCTGGGCTCACAGCCAAAAGATACAGAGAGAGCAAAGTCTCTGGGGCCCACGTCACCCCCAAAGTCCTTCAACTCAAATGCTCCCCTCTCTGGGACAAGATGCTCAAAGTGATTTTAAGCATATGCCATAAGCAACTATATCCTCTCTACCACTCAGTTTAGACAAGAGAGAGTACAAATGACCACACAAAAAAAGCATATTCCCAGCCCTGCTGACTCAGCCAAGGAGAGACTGAGGCTCTTACCAACTCAGCATCCAATTATGTCTAACACTTGTTTTACAATCCAGTTTATGGGTTCTGGGTGTTTGAGGAACAGTTACCTCTCAATTCCCTGGTATTAAACACCAGGTAGTTATGGCAATTAATTAATCCCACCTCTGGGCTATCAGAAGGTCTACAGTACTACCAGCCAGGTCATGCTCTCCAAGCTGACATCACCACCTGAGTCTGCCTCACAGCTTACACAACATGCCTTTTCTTCTTATACTCCCTTCTCTGGGGGTACGTCAAGTTGGAGTGTTTATGCAGAAATCCAAACGGGTTAAATAGGTGTGCTTGACCTATTGCTCCACCCAAGAGGAAAATCCCTTTTGTGAAACTATACACACTTCCCTTGAGTGGAAAAAATAAATCTATATGTTTTATTTCACAGTACATCAGAATTACACATTGCCAACCTTGCCTGCTGATGCAAAGTCAGAATTCCCCTAAACCTCTCTCTTTCTGAACCAATTTTTCCTGACACCCATTCTACCCCCACATCTCAAGGATGGAATGTTTTCAAGCAAGGAGTTTCACTGTCCACTAGAATTCCACTAGAAATCCACTGCAACTACAGCCATGGACTGAGTCTGAAACTGCTCTAAACTCCTTCAGCCCCATCTCTTCATACTCACTGTTGCTGGACTTAAGGTCGCGGTGGATGATGGGGACGATTGCTTCATCATGTAAGTAGTTCATCCCTCTGGCAATCTGCACAGCCCAGTTCACCAAGATGTCTGGGGGAATCCTTTTCCCTGATAGCACTCTATTCAGAGGCCCTCCGCGAGCAAACTCCATGACCAAGCAGAGGTTGGGTTCCTTCAGACACACTCCCCTAAGGGCAATGATGTTGGGGTGCTTCAGCATGGCAAAGAGCTTGGCCTCCTGGCGTACATTCTCTATGGTCTGGCTGATGTCCTCATCAGGGTCATGGCGAGCTGCTTTTACGGCAACCTCATCGCCTATCCAGAAAGCACGATAGACTTTCCCAAAGCCCCCGATGCCGATGATCTCTTCCAGGGTTAACTCTGCAAAATCAATCTCTAACACTGAGAAAGAGAAGAAGAAGAAGACAGCAAGTCAAAAACTAGAAAGCACCTGGAAACACTGTTTAACTATCCTGGATAGGTGAACATAGTAAGTTGGCTGTTCACTTGGCTTTTCTGTCTCTCCCATTAAAAG